AAAAAAAAAAAAAAAAAAAAAAAGGCTGGTGCACCCTACTGACATTCCAGAAAGGCAGGAATTTACCATGTCTGTACAGAACAAACCTGTGCATACTAATACACGTGCTCATCTGTAAGCATGCAAGTTATACCAGATTTCAACATGCTTAAAGTTTAAGTGTGTTCAGTGAAACCTGGATCATTCATATCTGCATGTTTCACAACCCAGTTGATTTGCAGCAGGTGGCCAAATTAAGGATGAGTTACTCAGCTCTTTATTTTCACTTCTACTTGAAAGGGCACCTTTTCTCCATTCAGGTGGAGCTCATCAGCAGTCCTGTGCAACTGACTGGAAAAGAAGCACCCTTTGAAATAAAAGCCACAGGAAACAGCTGGAGCACCTCAGTGGTTCAATACAACTGCTTGCTGAAGCTATGTACATCCCTGGATACTTCACAAACACTTATATTTGCATGGGGGTTAGGAACCTAACACTGGGAAGATGCTGGGTCCTACTGTACTTGTCAATGAGATTGGGGCTTGAGTGTCTATTGAATCTGAGATGCTCTGAAACTACTGAAAATGGCCCACTGTTCAACAGGAAGCCCATAATGTACTTTAGCATAAGTGAACCCAAGGATTATGGTATTTCTTCCTGAATAAAACTGACACTCAGTTGTGCCTTATTTTTAATCTTACCAAAATTATCCTTATCCCAGCTGTAAGCATAACATCGAGCAACAGGGATTGGAATTGTGTGGGGTTTATATGACTGGGCTAACGCTGTGGAAAAAGAAAGCAAGAGAAAAGTTAGCTCAAACTCAGATGGTAATCTCCCAGACCCATTAACAACACGAGTTGCACGCACTCCTGATATTACAATGAGCTGCTGCTCACAGGAGATTGCATAGGCAATATAGCTATACTTTTTTCTATTGCTGTGGGTAGTAGCGAGAAAATTATGGGCAGTGACATTTAAAATTACTATTAACACATCACCAAATTACTATTATCACATCACTCAGAGCTATAGTTTCAAACTCTTTGCAGGTTCAAGCAATGCTATTGTTGCAATAATTTTATAATTTGAATGCGTTCTTAACCAAAAAAGCTGCAGACTGAATTCCTTTAAAATGAAAGCTGAGATTCTGGGGAAGAAAAAGCAGCCAGCAAGAAAAAAAAATCCAATAACTGATTCATCATGAGGTTGGGATGTGAACCTGAAGGTGTTTGCATTTTCCTTCTACTTTTGAAATGTAATGCAATGCAGGATTTCACACTTCAGAGCATTTGCTCCTAACACACTCAAAATAGAGATGTTAACTTATATGTACAATCTGAATTAAAGACTGACAAGTGGAACACCGAAGAGATGAGCCCAAATTAATTTGTGCTTATACCTGTGATTTTAGGAAAGCTTGCTCTTGTCCCAATGTCCTGTAGCGTGAACTTCAGCTGTTCTCTGGCTGTGGCAGGGTCGCTAGTAACAGCTGCCAGCTCCAGGGCGTCTGTGATGCTAGAATAGATGTCTAAGAGCACTTCTAAGGTCTTTGACTAAAGAAAGAAGAGAAGAGAGAGACTGAGGCAACCAGCTATGCATCTCTCTCTCAGAAGCTAATGCAATTATTTTAGGAAGACTTCTAGCCAGAGATGAGTGAATTTCCATAGTGCCTCCTCTCCAAATTAAACAAGACAGTCACGTTAAAAAAAAAAGTTAACTAAAATGAAAATTTTCATTCCATTTCAAATGTTGAGTTTTCCTTTGCTTTCCCAAACTTCTTTCAGTTTATGAGGGGAGCGAGGGAAAGAGTAGTAAAATAGTGAGAAAAACTGGAATATCCTTTCCTATTCTTGCAAACAAAAACTTACAAGATACTTCTTGGAAGTATTTAATTTTATGATTCCTTTCCAAAGGAAAAAAAATTGCATGAGATTTTTTTTCTATGTTCAAATGGTCAAAACCCATTTTTCAACAAAGAGTTCCTTTAATTAAGAAATAATTTAGGCAGTGCTATTCAAAGATGGCTTTTAAAGCAACTAGAATAAGTAGCAGTTTCTGAACTGAACAGCTTTGAGATCTCATTCCACCTTACAGTTCATAAGACAATTTACATTCACTCAGCAAATTTCACTCCCCAGAAGAGCACTACTCCACTATGGAAATACAGCTGCCTCTAGAGCAAGGCTGACAACTATTAGCCTGCAGAAGCTTCACCCCGCAAGACAGGGACAGAACTGCTGGGCCTCAGTACAAGCCGCACTCTACCTTCAGTACTTGACATAAGCTGCTTAAGTCATACTGATTTCCAAAGTTGGCCTGATAGATGTGTTCAATTAATGTGACAACAGTGCTGTGCTGCGGCTGCTCGGTGCCACTCAGCTTCTCAGCAATGGACAGGAAGTCGCTCTGAATTTCGGAGGGGTTCAGCAGCAGCACCGTTCTGAGGATAAAGGAAATGGTGGTAAGTGAATCTGATAGAAAGTGAACTCTCACTACCATGGAGATTAAATGGCACCTTCCAGAATGGGCCCCAGTTAGAGCATTACACTAACAGTCATGTTACCTAGTACTCGTATTGCTCACAAGATATGGGCAGGGAGGAAAATTGGGCAGATTTTTGCAACATTTGATAAGTTCCAGACTATTTAATAATAGACTGGCCTCTGGCTGCTTTACCACTCCATCCAGGAACAGCAGAGACCATCTGCAGACTTCCTCAGCCTGACAAAGGATGTTTGTGCCCGAAAGCGTGCTAAGAAGAATTTCTCCAACTATCAGATATACCCAAAGAACCTTGTCTGCCTATGCCCTTGGACCAACATAGCTACAACCTATACCCCTGAGACTATTTAATAAGACACCCGCTAGATGGCAATAGCCTTCCATATTATAAAAACACCATGCATGGGTGAAGGGCAATCCTCATGGTGCCCCTTTACCACTCACATAAAGCAGTATGGGCTTTCTTTTGTTCTGCACACTTCTGTATAGTCAGAGATGTCACATACCAATTAATTCCACTCTCTTAACCTCAAGCAGAGACAAGGCAAGTGCCGTGCAACTTCCCTTCCTAACCCAGAGAATTCTTGCTCCTCAGCTTCCTTTCAACACAAGCTGCAGACTGTGCCTAGACAAGACATTTTTCTGGTGCACAGGTTCGACTGGGAACACGAAATTTATGTTGCCAAATCCAAATTGGGAACTCTGTTATGCAGACACTGCTATGGCCATTTTAATGAGTCGGGAAATATGCTTCCCCCTGTAGTGTAACTTAGAGCTTCCTTAAATGTCTGGGGGAGGGTGATCTAAGAGGAAGCCCCCTGAACTTGAAACTGGGCTCCACACTGGTTCAGAAAAGCACTTAAAGCAGGTGTTTAACTTTATGGAGCTGAACAGTCCCATTAAAATGAATGTGACTTACTTTAAGTCGAAGTTTTCAGAATTGGAGGCTAATGCATCCAGAGCCTCAGGCAATGGCTGCAGGTTCTTTATAAACCTGGGTCTTTGTTTATACACATTTCTTACACTGGTACAGCTAAGTTATACGTCAAGTGCTCGTTTTTGTGTGTGGGGGGGATGTTTGTTAATTAGATAGCCTAGTGAAGTTCCTAGAGTGCCTGCAGTTGTACCAACATAAAGGTGCCAATCTGTTTTATTCTCTTTCCCATACAGGAGTACTGGTATAAGCACCTTTGCCATGTTATAATTGCATCCAGTCAAGGAGGGACATGTACTGCTATAACTGCACCAGCAAGGTTAATGCAATACAGAGTTTTGTATTTAGACACACCCTATCTGAAAAATGTGCAGAGCAGGGACAGGAGAGCTGCCACACCTGCCAGCAAAGGGCTGTGACTAATGGCTAACCAGGGTGAGGGCAGCTCTGTGTTATGATTTTCATATTTACAAATGAGGGCAATAGCACCAGGAGGAAGGGACTGAAGCTCAGATAACATTCCTCCAACCTCATTCACATTCAGAACCTCCTGCCACTCTGTTTCCTTGTATAAAAACTGGGTTTTTACTGACCAGGTTTAAACCCTATTGAAACCTTCTTCTAGGGATGGACTCAGTTCTTTCCTGCCTTCAATACCCTCTTTTTCCTTTCTAACAGGTATCTCAAAGCATCCATTCTCTCTCATGAACAGAGATCAGCCAAGGCAATTCTCTGTACAGGAACTGATCAGCTAAGGGAATACAGCATCACAGCAAGCATGTACTAACACAGAGAATGGTTAGGGACCCAGAATAACCACTATGGAAACATTACATTTTTAATTTTATTCTTCTTAATCTTCAGCTTGGTGTTGTTTTCCTATTCCTCCCCCTCTACAAAGCCACACACCTCTAGTCACTACAGCTGCTACTGCATGGAGAACAAAGGGTACTCTGGAACGTGTCATGTATTTGGAGAGAGTCATGAACATTAATTTCAAGGCCCTGCAAATCTCTGTTCCTTTTCCCTCAACTGCACTTACATGGTGGAGTTTTGGTAGTTCTTCACGAACAGTCCCTGCTCTGTTCGCACCAGCCTCTGGTATGAAATACCTGTGAAGAAGAAGAGGGGCATTTAAAAAACAGCAGCAACTCTTACCGCACGCACAGCAGGATTCTCTTGGCCCCAATCATATATAGCTTTGTTTTATTACATAGTGCCAAACTGGTCAAGTCAAAAGATTAGGCTAGAAGCCTGGCATCCATTTAAGATTCCTTAGCTGCATTAAAAAATCAGATCAAGGAGCTATCACATGTGTTAACATTGCTCCTTCAAGTCCTGGTGTAGACAAATCTTTAACAGATAACTTGTGTACAGACTCACACAACCCTCCAGACAGCAGACTGTACGGTGAAGGGAAGAGGAGGCAGAGGTTTATGGTGAAACAAAAGATGTCACAGTAGAGGTGACATCTTCAGCATGCAATAGCTATGGAGAGGGAAGTGAAGGGGTGGTCAGGACTAGAAAAGGATATGGAAAATATAATCTAAGGACTGGAGTGATGGGGTGAGCACTTCTATAATGGGAGGATCACACTTTGTGACAATCATGGGAGAGGCGAGAGGAAAGTGAGATGTGCTGGGGTGAGATTCTGAGGGATCTCTGCTATCAAAGGCAATCACATCACAGTTCACGCTCCTGTTTAAGGCCTAGCAGCACTGTCCCAGGGGCAAGTAGTGCCTTCTGTCATTTCATGGGCAACCTGTACAATTCTAGGCTGATACTTTTGCACACAGTTTAATGCAAGCAACCTTGCTTTGCAGAACAAAACGCATTGATCCCAGATTTCAGACAATACCACAGTTTAAGGAATTGTTGGCAAATACTGACAGCAGCTTTGACTTAGTTAAATATTTACCTCTTAGCTCAATAAGGCTTTGCCTTAACCTCATTATAAGTCAGGGAGTTTATAGAACAAGTCTATCAGGTCTTGGCTGGATTTCCAGCAGACAAGCATTGTATTCACAGAGCTGCCACTCATACCGGTGCCAAATGAAAGCAGAAGGGCCAAGGACTGGAAGTGCCATGGATATGTTACAGGTTCTCACCCCATATGGGAGTCCTTTTGGCTTACAGTTAGCACCCACTAGCATGTGTCAACAGCATGCTGTCTTTCTCTATGGCTGACAAGCTGCATGCTTCTTTGCTGGATGCAGAAAACCACCATTTGCCTTGGGGACATGAGCCAAGTAATTCTTGTGCACCTGTATCATAGTGATGACAGCAAGATATAATTAAGTCTCCTAGAGATTAATTAAAGGCTCCTGGGCATTTATTACCAGCATGCTGCAGGTATGTTTAAAGTAGGCTTCCTGTATCTGACTGGTGAAATGGCACTCAGAAATTCCAAGTTTGTAAACTGGTATAATAGTAATGATTGAACACACAGATGATTCTAGCTAACTCTAGGAAGTTAATGGACTCCAACCATCTACAGGACCACCAGGCTGTTTCACCCTTCAAGGGCTCCACCTGCATTACAGGCACAATCACAGCTCCCTGTTGTATAGAAGATTAATTGGCTTGTTTCGGTGCAGGGCCACAGCTGAGCCAAGAGAGGACAGAGGTCAACCAGCCTAGTTTAAACATCAGGCTCTTATTAGGACCGAGACAAAACCGGGGCTTGTTTCCAGCCCACCTCTCTCTACCCTGCTCAGCTGCATTCACCTGCAGTACTGTGGCTGTTCAGTGCATCAGACCCCAGGGCTCAGGTCTGAAAACCAATTGTATTGGAGCCTCCCAGATTGAACCTTACTTCACAGTTGCTCACTGTAAGCGTATCTGCAACTCTGGCTGGAAGGGGGAAAGGGGCTACAGTGAAGGATGGATGAGAGGCTCCACAAAGGAAAGAAACTAGGGTTGTCATCACAGCAAACCTGTCAGGTTGCAGCCTTGAAGCTGGGGCCTCAGTCTGACCAGCACGGCTGCTCATCCCAACATGCCCCCCTACCACTGACCACCCAGCTATGCTAGGCTGGCCTGAAATGTTTATCGGGGCCTAGCCCTCCACCTACCCCCCCATCGCTAGAGTGGCCAGTTAGGGTCAGGGGTTGTGCCACTGCAAGTGGAGATCACAATACAATCTCCCGATGGGGAAGTGTAGCCCACAGCCAATGCTGGCTGTTAACCAGAAAGCAGAAGCATTTCCAATGCATGCTGGCCCCTGCAATAAAACAGGTAAGTATCCTGGATAAGTGCCCAGCAATGAGTTACCTAATGAGTATCACTTCACTGCTCCTGTGTCATACCAGCCTTTCCTTTTGGTCTGTGTTGTTTCCCGGCTAATAGTTTCCCAGCCTCGTGCTTTTTTCTTATCTTCACTGTTCTCAACTCCTACTGAATTCTCACTGCATGTTTTTATGGGAGCAGCACTCATCGTGGAGATTCACAGGTTTCATGGTCAGTGCAACCCAGTCTGTCAGGTTTGGTTCTTACAAGGCCATTAAAGGCAGCGTGGGAAGTGGTGCAGTCAGCTGCAGAGGGGACCCATGGAGATGAGCCAGAAATGACTGTGGTATACTGGAGAGCTACCCAAACAATCTTTAACCCACAGCTTAGATACCAGTAGCAGTGTAGTCAGAGCAGCGTGGAGCTCAGCGCATGCTTATTTACCTTGCTGAGAATTGACAGCAGTGCAGGAAAATCCAAAGGTAACCAACCTCTTTCTATATTTCTGGTTACTTGTATGAGAGCAGATATAATGTTTTTCATTCTTTTGCTTCTCTTGAAAACATCTTCCATCCAATCCCATTTCTGGTAGCTCTAAAATTTTACTCGTATTTAATCCCTGGTTAAATCACCACTTAACGCCTCCGCAAAGGCTAAAGGAATTTTTGTCAACACTCTGCCAGGTAATCTGCAGTTGCTGGCATTCGCTGCCACCAGCATAAACTGAATCCCTGGCTAACATCTTGGTTAAGCAGCATGAAGCAATCCCTCCTCTGTCCTACCAGATTGGTTTAGGATCTCTGTGCCCTTCTCTAGGGCTCTGTCTCCCCTAATAAATCAGCTAGGCGAATGATGCCACAAGCCTTGAAACAGCATCTCACCTGCCAACAGTTTTAAATGCTGTGCCACCTAACTCGGTTTACAACTAATCTAATCCATGCCAATAATGCATCAGTTGTTAAATAGTACCCAGGGGTTAAGTGGTGATTCACCAGGTGTTAAATTCTAAAACATATTCTAGTGCTGTACTTAAAATAATCATTCTCTGCATCTTTTCCTAACATTTACTATTTTGTAATGGCCTCTTCTCTTAATTGGAATGCCTGTTTAATAAGGAATACTGAGCCACCAGCACATCTTAATTATGAGGAATACATGACTGTACCCGAAGTCCCATTACGAGGTAACCACAGCTTAGCCACCAAGAAGTGGCTAGGACTTTTAATGAACTATATGAAAATATTTATACAGCAGCACACTCAAAGCCTAAATTTTCAATGAATGGATTCACTGTTATCACCTAATTATGCCACTGTGTTCCGAAAGCATAGTTAAGGGTGAGGTGGAACAGCAACAGGAAGCAACTAAAGCTGCTTTACCATGCAAAAGATACTGCCAGAACAAAGGGGCTACAGTGGAAATGTTTATGTCTTTAACCCATAATGATCAGAATGTCTGACTGAATTTATCACTCTCATGGACACTCCCATTTTAGTTTGATACAGTGCTAGATTCATACACAGACCACTGAAAACCTAACCCTGTCAAATGTAGCTTCTCACCATTTGGAAGAGAGCTGGCATCCAATCTATGTTGGGTAACCAGCCGAAGCAGCTCCATGGTCTCAGCTACAGCTCCTCCTAGCTGACAATGGTCCCCAACCAAATGCTGATTTACAAATGTCATAGAACACAGAGCAAATGATAAGAAATGGTCCCACAGTTTGTTGCATTACCGAAAGAACTGGTACACTGGGCCACAGGAGCGTGTACTTCCGGGCAGTAGAGAAGGACAATCAAACTATTTGACTCCATGTGTCATGTGTCCCCAGTTAGCTATCTGCAAGACCACAAAGGACTAAATGACTAATGACTCTGTAAAACGATGGATAATTTGGGTTCCTACCTGGGGCCTTGAGTTCATCACTGATGAAGGTCAGAAGCTCCCGGAAGATGTCGCAATATGGCACAGGCCAGGTAAGGAAGTTGTGGTAGATGCTAATGGCTTTGCGAAGAAGGTCGGAGTCTAAGGGAAAGTGAGGAGTCTACAAGGAAGACATAAATGGAAGAAGGTTTACATTTAGAATTGGCCTGTGAATGCAGTCCTGAAGCCTTGCATACCCAAACCACTCAGACAGACCCAGATCTTCATGGATTCCAACCCACACTTCAAGACTCAACAATGAAGCATCAGACCGAGCTGCTTGAAAGCAAAAGGAAAAGATGATGCCATGCAGACCATTAGTATGACCCTTGAGGTCCCTTCCAACCCTATGATTCTAACATGAAGGGAAAACAGGTGGCTCAGACCAGCAGCCCATCTTTTCCAGTATCCCATCTGTGACAGTGGTCAAAACTGGACACTTCAGACCTTGGAAAACCCTACACAGCAAGGCTGCTTCTCCTCAGCCTCCATCAGCTAATGCCTAATGCCCCAAAGCAGCAACGTTTCTCTCTCTCATAAAGACGCATTCTAAGCAACCATGAAACCACAGATGCCTAATCCTTTTATGAATCTTTCTCACCTCTTGGTTGCTTTAAGATCTTTCAACAATGATTTCCACAGGATGACTGCTTTGTATTGAAAGAAATCTTTTGTACATTTCCAAACATCATCTCAGTTTCATTAAAAGTTCCCTTTGACTTTCTATTCTGAGGAATGGGAGTGGATGATTTACCTTCTCTGTATATGCATTATCTTATATACTTCCTTCATGTTCGTCCTCATCTCATCTCATCTTTAAAGTTAAACACATGTGTCAACTCTTCTCATCTCCAGTCATACAGCAGTTTCTCCAAGCCTCTGATAAACGTTACCTGTTTTCAGATCCTCTCTGTCTTTAAACTGAGATTACCGGAACTAAGCCTTTTAGATGAGGATATTCAGTGGATCTGTACAACAACATGATGTACTGGGTAGTGTTCCAGCTCTCAGCACAGCCCTGGACGCTAAAGATTAAACACTTTGGAACTTACACACAGGACAGCAGAGTAGAAGAGCAGAGCCAATGGAGTGAGGAGGTCATAGTCACAATCATCTTGGACCTGCAGGATATACATGAAAACAAAAAAGGGTCAGCTGTGTTACTTGTTTACTGGAATACCTAAATGCCACCAGTTCATTTTACATAATAAAACTAACAGGTACTAAGTTTAAAACTAACAAAAGGAAGGTCTTTTTCACATGGCATATAATTACAGTGTGGAACTCTGCCACCAGATGTTGCAGAAGTTGACAGTTTAGCCAGATTCAAAAAGAGACTGTACAAATTCTTGGAGGAAAGGGGTATCAGTAGCTACTGAGCGTGGGAGTTAAGGACGCAGCCTCTGAATCAGAACTTCCTAGACCTTAAATGCTGGAGGCTGCAAGTGAAAGAGGAACAGTGGAAAAAAACCTTGGTTATACTCTGTTGACTCCCCACCCCTTTCAGCATCCACTCTCTGCTGCTGTGTGACAGACACTGAACGAGAAGGACCTATGGCAGTGCTTATGTTGGGAGATGGAAACTTGTAAGAAACCATCCAATGGTCAGATTTATCTAAGGGTCTCACCCACTTCCCCATGCAATGGTATCAACGTTTGTTTACACAGGGAAATAGCATGGCACAATATCTTGTGGAAAAATAACTGCTAAACCCTAACTCCCTAGAAGAACACTGGTTCTGAACTGAAGATCACCTTTGTGTGAGACAACTTAATCCACTCTGTAAATTTAGAGCCACAAATTTGGCAGGATCTTTCTTATTTTCACTTTTCAGACAATGAACTGATTGGACTTCACTACCCTATGCAGCACCCAAGGGGCACAGATTCAAGTCAAACTGCTTCCAGGCACTTTCCAGTGGAAGAGCAGGGGAAAGAAGAGAGAGAAACTAGTTTCCATGTGGGATGGTAAACAAACTCTCCACCCACAGGGAAACCAATTCAAAGGGAAAGGTACCAGAAGCAGCAGCGTAATTCAGGGGAAGGATAAATTGCCTAGAAGTTGTGGAATCTCTTTCATTGGAGGTTTTCAAGGAAAGGTTAGATAAGCATTGGTCAGGGATGATTTAGGAGCAGAAGTGCCTGGAATAGGTTGTGAAGTGCAACAGTTGGAACCCCAGGAGAACGCCCTACACAAAGCACTTAGAAGAACTCTGCAGCCCAGAGCAGGCAGAAATTGGACAGGACCATGCTCAGCAGCAGGAGAATAAGCAGAACTCCACAACCAGCTTGGTTATGAAACAAGATGAAAATATCTTGGTTAAATTTATGGAGGGGATAGATTGATAGAAAAGGGAGTTCAGGTTCTCTAGTCATGTGTAGAGTTGTGGTTGCAGCCCCAGGTTGCGATGCAAAGTGGAGGGCGCCTGGTTATGCCATGCTTCTGGACTTTGTTGGCTGCCGTATAGGGCCAGGAAGGAATGTCCCCACTCCTGTTGCATCCATTCTATTTTTTCCCCCTTCCTTAGAAGCATTTGGTGTTGACCATAGCCAAGACTGAAGATTTGGACTGAGATATGTGATCCTTCTGTTGGGACCTAAAAAAAAACCTCAGAGGTTCCTGGCTAAAGGGTCTGTCTCCTCTTCTCAGGTTCATTTGTATGAGGAAGGAATTTTATGGTCACATTGGAATGGACTGTAGGAGTTTTTGCCTTCCTTTGGAGTGGGAGATGTTGTCCTCTTTCTTCAATGTCTTGAGTATTTTAATAAATTACTACTTGTCCCTACAGTGGCAGGACACTAATGGTGCCCTTGTCCCCCTGCTTTACCTGTACAAGTTAAAGGGTGCTTTTGATGTTTAGGGCATTATGCCTGGTAGTTGTGCATGAGGACTGTTCCCCAGGGAATCACAGTTTGAAGGTTTTGTCTTTATCCACGGGATACAAATTCCCCCCCCCCCCCCAAAAAAACAAAAAGTTGAGATTTTTACCTAAATCACATGAGTCCATTAGGGCTGTGTGAAGCTTTGAACCCTGATTCAATTCAGCGGAGATTTGGCCCGGTTTGGTGGCCGAATCTCTAAATCCAAATCGAATCAGAGGACCCTTTAATCTCTCTGAATCAATTCAGAACCATCTGAATCGATTCGGAGAGATTCGGCAATTCGGACACGGACACAGCTTTAACTGTTTTTTCTACATATCTCTGGGTAGCAGGGGCTCTGAACGGTGCAGTGCTGGGGCAGATGAAGTGTCCCCCAGGAGCATGGGGGGCGGGGTGGGCCCCAGCGCACTTGGCAGCAGACCTGGAAGTGGACCAGAAGCACTTCCTGTCCACTTCTGGGTCTGCCAGGGAGCATGCAGGGGGGTGGGGGGCCCTGCGCCCCCCTAACTCAGTGACTGGTGCCTCCTAGGTCTGGAGGGCACCTGGGTTCCCCCTGCGGCCAATTGTTGGGCTGGAGAGGTGGGGGGGGGGCACGGCACTCTCCCTGGCAGACCCAGAAGTGGACTGAAAATACTTCCGGGTTCATTGCCGAGCATGCTGGGGAGCCCCCCCCATGCTGTTGTGGGATGCTCCATGCACCCCAGCACCGCACCAATTACAAGCTGCGCTGCTACCTCAAGGTATGTAGAAAAAAACTTTTTAAGTTGTGCCTGTGTCCGAATCGCTGACTCTCAGAATCAGCATCAAATCTTCAGATTCAGATTCGGCCAAATCGAATCAGGGACAGTGATCCAAATCAGCGGACTGAATCACTGTCCCCGATTCGGCCCGAATTGGAATCAAATAGGGCTCGTTTCGCACAGCCCTAGAGTCCATGATTTGGGGCTTTAAGAAAAACATCAAACATTGTAAAATTCTTGATAAGAGAGAGATTTGGCAATGTTTTTGCTGTGAATTAAGTGCTCATCTGTACTCAGAGGTCAACACCATCACTTCCTGTGTCCCTAGATATTCCTTGGAAGTCTTCCATCCATGTCCTGCCTTAACCCTACTTAATTTGTGATGCCATCAGCTTTCACATCACAGGGTGAAAATGTTGCTGGTTAATGATCAGCACCCCAGATGTCTCACTTCCCAGGCTTCATTTGATATATCAAATCTTAGCAACCTGCTGTTTATTACAGTTTATTGTTCATAGGTCCAAACCTATTTCTAGTTACACAGCAAGCTCAGAATAGTCACAGCAAAGCTTCTGTTAAAATAACAGGAAGCCATCCATTTCTTTTGAATTGGACAAGCAAAAATGCTTAAACAAGAGGGGTCCTCAGGAAGCCCAGCCTCGTAAATCCTAGGCTACCAGGCAGACTGGAGCTCTGTCCCATGACACATGTATACCAGGGGCTCCTAGAATCTAATAGCTAGGATCTCCCTTCCTGGCTTTCCCCTCACAATAGGCAGCACACAATGGATAATGAGACTGGAATACAGGCTGCTCCCTGGACAGGAGGCTGGTTGCTATTGTGGAACAGAGGTCATGCACATAACAGGACTTCAGGAAGTAGGAAATCTCCCTTGTATCTTGCAGTGCTATTCAAAGTGCAGATGTTCAGGTTCATTCTCCTTCCCAGTGTAGCTCCACATCCCTTTTCTCTGCAGTTCCCACACAGCAGAAGGAATCAAGATCCAAGGAGCTGCTCTATAAAGGGATGGCCCAAGTCCAACCAACCTGCTGCCAGAATGAGGTGCTTGTGTCATGTGTTTCTGGAACCCTAAAAATACCTAAACAACATTGCAAAACTCAAATTGCTTCAGACACAGAAGCTGACACCTTTCCAAACTGGAGTTGAAGGTGTAGCCCCTCCATCCCAGTCTGGAATGGGGGCAACAGACAGCAAATCAGATGCAATTTAGAGGACGTTAAAACAGATTTAACTAGCTCAGGTGCTACAAGACAATGCAGCCAACTGAACAGAAATCTTGCATGCTTAATGGCAGTTTTTCTTTCACTGGTCACAGGAGTCCAGCATTTTAAAGACTTCCCCAGGAGAAAGAAAGGAGATGGATTCAGTTGTAAGCACTTTAAGGGAAGGAGGAAACAGTTTTCCCATGTACCAAAGCCCTATCCATGCGTGCCTATGCTAGGTCTTGTTAAAGGAACATGACATTTTGAACTGCTCTGTACAATTCAGACAGAGCAACAGGCATATAACTCATGTTTATTAATTTGACTGACACAGCATATTCCTGTTTGAAAGTTATCTGTTAAAGAAATTACAATGTTCTTGAATTTGCTATTGAAAATTACTTGCCAAGCAATATTCACCAGTAATTCTTAGATCAGATTTAATGTTGTCCTTGTCTGAAATGCACACCACTTATAGACTGTTCATCGGCTTCATAACACTTTATAACAAATACTTTATATTTGGAATTCAAGCCATTAGTGAATTTTGATGTTTCACGACTGGATGTTCTTAATTCTAAAAATCAGGTGTCAGGTATAAATATTCACATTTAGGAATTTTGTAACTATTCTCCATTATTCACTTAAAAATTCACTGCTTTTTCTGAACCCTTCTAGCAGCAAATCTATTTGAAAAGAACATTCATAAACAATGAGCACAAGAGGAGCACAAATTTATTAGCAGGGAACTATTTTTTAAATTGAACTTGCCATCACAGGGATCACTGCTGTTGTTTGGCACTACCCATCACTGTGGCTTAATCACAAGCGATGATACCAATATACTACAGAATCATGCTCCTAACAACAGATATTTGCCCAAAGGTCTACTAATAATTTTTCTTTCCCATCTGAGCAATAATCTGTAGGAGCTAATGTCTTCTGAATGGAGGCTAGATGGTGTACCAAGCCTACTTTGGAAGGCATTTCCCTAACAAATGCACTGTGAAATAACCAAGCACCAACACAGCAACTGGTTACACACCAATGCTGAAAAATCCTCTCACCCCCTAAACTTCAGATTCTTACAGGTACTGTTGGTGGGCAGGGCTCTTATTGTGTTAGGTGTCAAGCACACTCAGGGATCCAAATATCTGAAAGGCCGCTATAAAGAGGTGGGAGGACATCTTTTCTTCCTCATTTCAGAGAATAGAAGGCAGAGCAGTGGCTTGAAGTTGCAGCAAAGTAGGGTTGGCTTGCCTATCAGGAAAGACTTATTCACTGTTAGAACAGTGAGGCAGTGGCATAGACTGCCTAAGGAAGCTGTGGCATCTCCTTCATTAAAGGTTTTCAAGAAGAGATTGGATAAGCTCTGGTTTGGGATGATCTAGGAGTAGCAATGCCTGGACAACAGTTAGATGCCCTGGAGACCCCTCTACATTAGAGCCAGTCAATTATTTTGGCTGGAGTGGTACTTAATGAGTTTTGGTGAGTTGTTGAGTGCTGCAAGGGTAGCCCCACCCCGCCCCCCTGTTTGCCATCTTGGGACCAGA